CCATGAATGGACTTGTGGAAGTAGCTCAGGAGATTAGGGTGACCCGAGGACTACGTTCCATAGCGCAAAATTGGGCCCAAATAAAGGACCTATGTGTTGGATTTATCCATGAAAACATGGATGTCTTTGCTTGGACAAAAAAGGCGATGTCAAGGTTACACCCCAGAATAGTTGTTCATAGATTGGTAGTCGACCTAGAGGCAGTCCCGATCAAACAGCGCCCGCACAAGTCATAGCCCCAAGATTAAGGTGGAGTTAGACATGCTCCTTAAAGCTGGATTCATTCGAGAGGTGAAGTATCCGACGTGTACTGCTCGCCCAACACAATGATGAAGGAAAGGAAGTCGCATTGTATTATTTAAGACATAACATGAGTGGTGTTTAACACAATTATTCTCTATCAAGTAGATGTGCATGGCTCTGGAGTTTGCAGCTCAGAAGTTCTGACACTATCTCTTGGAGCACCCAATACAGCTCATCTTACGGGCTGATCCTATTAAATACCTCATGTTACTACCAACACTTTCAGGCTGTTTGGCAAAATGGCCAATACTCTCTATGACGTTTGACATAACATATGTGTCCCAAGAAGCAATAAATGGGCAGGGCCAAGTCGATTTGGTCAATGAAGTTCTTTCAGATAAAGTCGTTGTTTGCATCCCATCCTTTCCGAAATGCAAAATGTAATTGAATAAGGCTTCAAAACGTTCAGATGCGAAGGTAGGCATCCTATTTGTAACCCCATAAGCGGCATTAGGCTTCAGAAGATTTGCTCAAACAATGAAGCGAAAAGAATCCAGACATTTATGGAGGCTCGCAGTTGGTAATAAGGCAGCTCAAAGGGATGTACATGGTAAGAATTTGTCCCTTACTTCAATGCTGCTAAGCATTGGCTTGCAATTTTTCATGAGGTTAGCCTTAGCCACATCGCTCGACACCTTAACTACCAAACCAATGCGTCAACAAAGCTTTTTTTGTAGAAAGATTACATCGATGAGCAAGTCCAAGGACACCACGCAGGGGGTCTCGGCAAAAAATGTGTTTAGTTTATCATGTACAAAATGGGCTTATAGAACTGCCCAATTACATAGATATACATGGAGCTTCCAAAAAATGCAGCAGGGCCAAAAAATGCTAGTATACAAAGGTATTAGGTTATATGCCAGTCCAGAGCAGAAAAGGAGGAGTTGGACCCGGCTTGAGCTTGCCTTAGCTGGGCTTCTAGCTCCCTCTTTTGCCAGTGGATCTGCGGAGTCGTTGGCCATCCTCCATATATGCTTCCAAGAGACGTCCATAGCCTTGCAAATGTGATCAATTTCATCACAGATAGAGATTAGGTCCCATGGGGGAGAAGATGCTTTGCTTGCCCATGAGATGACATTTTGTGAGTCTCCTTCCACTATGAGGTGCGGGCCCCAAGAACTGTTAAAGTTTTTCAAGCCTAAGAGGGCCAAGGCTTCTGCATGAGTGGAATCCTTGAGGCTAAGGTGCACTCAAAATGTTAGGAGCGTGTTGCTTTGGTCGTCTCTGTAGACCCCCCTTGCCCCTGCCGGGCCTGGGTTCCCCAGGGAACAATCGTCAAAATTTAACTTGATACAACCTATTGGCAGTGGTTGCCAGTTGTTAGGTCTAGTTTCCAACCTCGGTGTATTATTGAGGACATTTTTCCATTGAGTGAGGGACATGCTTCCAGGAATGCCTGAAAATACCTTATGGTTAGAGGCCCAGAAGGTTACCAAGGAGGTCACCTTGTGAAGGAGAGCTGATGTGTGAAGTTTTTGACCTTGAAAGATTCTATTATTCCTTTCCACCTAGACTGTCCAAATGGTTGCAACTATTGTCGCCTTCCAAAGGATTCTTCTGGCCTTTGGCCAACATAAGTCAAAATCGTACGATATCAAGGCCTTGACCGATGGAGGGGTGACCCAAATAGTTGCAAGACTTGACCCCAAAGATCGTAGGTAAAGTCGCATAGAATGAATAGATGGGGATTGGAATCCTCCTTGTATTGACATAACGCGCACCTATTAGGGATTAGGACCCCTCTCTTTTGGAGATGGTCCACCGTGAGGGCACTATGAGAGCCGACGAGCCAGTTGAAGGTCTGAACCTTGGGTCAGTGATCACCAACGTGGCATCTTCATATTGCAAATGAGACACCGTTGGGCCATGTCTACTGCTCCTGAATCCATAAAGAAGACCTGTCTGATATAGCCGAGAAATAGAGCGGGTAAAGACTTCCGTCGCTATAGCAAACAGGAAGGGGGAGAGGGGGTCACCTTGTCGAAGGCCCCTCGAGGACGGGAAGAATCCTTTTGGTGCTCCGTTGACAAGAATAGAAAAATGTGGATGGGAGTAACAACGTCTCATCCATTTCCTCCATCTGTCCCCGAAACGCATTCTGACCATCGACTCTTCCAGGATTAACAAGTCAACATGGTCATAGGATTTTTCCCAGTCTATTTTGAAGATATGCCCTGGTTTTTTCTCTCAGTGCCTCGAGTGGATGCCCTCGTGGGCCATCAAGGCCCTGTCGAGAATATGCCTGTTTTTGATGAAGGCAGATTGTGACGATGAGATGATAGAAGCGAGGATAGATTGCTGCCTAAAAGCAAGAACTTTTGCCAGAATCTTGTTGGAGGAATTGAGAAGACTGATAGGACGGAAGTCTTTGATTTCCTGAGCCCCTTCTACTTTAGGGACGAGTGCTAGGAAGGTGGCGTTCAAGGCTTTGTGAAGTGTACCCCATAAGAAGAATTCCCCGAAGAACTTGAGTAAGTTAGGATGGAAGGTATCCCAGAAGGCCTTAAAAGGAGCAATTGGGAAGCCGTCAGGGCCAGGGACCTTATCTTTGGCTAGAGTATTGATAGCTTGTTTAATTTCTTCTTTTGAAAAGGGTCTCTCTAGCCAGACGACTTGATCTTATGAGAGGGTTAATAAGTCAAGGGATGGCATCCTTGGTCTGGGACCGGGTTGAGCAGTGTATAGAGTCTGGAAGAACTCTATAATAGCCTACTCTATGTCTTCTAGTTGAGAAAGGTAGCAGTTGTTTACTTTGATCATCGAGATAGTATTGTCTCTCCTACGACAATTAGCTATCCGATGAAAAAAGGCAGTGTTTTGGTCCCCCGCTTTCAACCAGGAAATTATTGATCTCTGAAACCAATAGATCTCTTCTTTTTTAAGGGAGGACAGGTATTCCTGTTTTGTCTTTGACCTAAGGTCCTGCATTGAGGGTTCTGGATTCCTCAAGAAGATCAATCTTATTGATAGTCTCTAAAAGAGAAGACTTGATCTGAGAGAAGTTACTAGGCCTGGACCGACTAAGTTTTGAGAGAGGATTTGAGGAGTTGGATTTTGGTTTGAAGAATGTATCTTGCACTGCCCGTGACCTTTGAGGAAAAGGAGTTCCACCAGTTTTGGATGAGGGTATGTAAAGACTCTTCTTGAAGCCAGTGGAGTTCAAATCTAAAGGGTTTGGGCCCCCTCTTTACTACATTAGAATCAAGCAAAATGCGACGGTGGTCCAACGTAGGCTTGGGAAGGGCCAAAGATGAGGAACCTAGAAAGTGCTCCTGCCAGTTCAAAGATGGTCCATCACTTATCACATGGAAATCTAAGAAATCTAATGTTTTGAATTCCACATTTGAATCAGACTATCAGAGTATAGACCTGTCTTTTTCCAATAGTGTAGTAGTTTGACTGAGATGGCTTCCTAGTGATATGGGCATTCAACTTATTGCTCCAACTCTGCTTTATGAAGATAATGTAAGTCCATGAAAATTGCTAAATGGCCAGTCTTTAATGAAACAACGAGACATATTAAAAATTGTCTTTTCATGAGCAGTTTCAAAAGGGTGAGCTAGTTTTCATATATTCATTTTGTTGACGAATTGGTTAGATATCTTCAAAAAAGCTATTCCTAGCAAGCGAAATGATCCTTCTGTGATAGACTGATGCTTATTGATCACCTGCGTTAGTTTTCCTCTTAGAATCTTGACCATAGTTACCGGGAGTGCCCGTGTAGGGTTCCCCTTCCGCTTCGGAATCTCGATCTCGCACTTTGACTGGATCTCGATTCCAGGCGCTTCCTTGCTTATGGGAACTCGATTCCTATTATTTGGAAGCGAGGTCCCTAGCAAGCGGGATCTAGAGCCCCATGCCCAAGATCATGGTCCCAATATCATTTGGAACCACGATTCCATCATACCAAGAACCGAGTATCCGATACCATGGGGGTGAGATGCACTTATAAAGTTTATTTTATTCATGTATAGTATTCAGTTTTCCTCAAATTTTCTACGACGCACACATTTTGCAATGACACTTGTGTCAAATTTTAAAGAAAGCAACTAGAGTAGGGACAAGATTGGAAGGAGGTTCAAAGTTAGCCCTGTTGCAATTTTATTGTGAAGTGAGGTCACGATCACTACACTTCATTACGGTAAAAAGGATGGGTTACACTATCTGTTGATGTTTTGCACAATCGGTTAATGGTGCATTTCTAACAAAATAAGGTAATATTATGTACAAGTCTGCGAGTACAGTCAGAATGGGTTGCACATTATAAACTTTAATTGTATTGTAATACTGAACTGATCATCTTGTGTATGTGTAACAATGTTATGTCAGCCCACATAAGTCTACTTTCCTGCATCCTATTGCTTCCTAAAAAATAGTGCATCTTGTAACAAATACAGATTATTTGGGTCGTCTATTTTCAAAATTTTCAAGTGTTTATAAATCTACACGATTTATGCTATTTTTGGAATTTAGTTTTCATAACCAGGGATAAAAATATATTTTCAAGCCATCTAAGGTTTCCGACACCGTAGCTACATCTCCATACCAAATTTAAGGCGCACCTTACTTCTTCAGCATAAAGAGGGAGCCTTATACAAACGTCACCCTTTTATGAAAGATCGGGTTGTATCTAAACACTGTGGGTCAGCCGGCGGATAAATGGATACTGACACTGATATTACCTTTGTTGATGATAGGTTTTTCTGTCTCAACTGCTGCGTCAACTGAAACTGGTGCAAAATTTAGTTTTGCAAGTCCAAATGCTGGTACAACCCAGGCAGCCCCTTCTTTTAGTCAAAGCAGTAGTGCGGGGTTTGTCTCTAACTGAAGACTAAGTTTTATTCTGTTAGTGTTTTTTAATAAGTCATAGTTTTTTCCCTTTAGATTACTGTGAATAGCTTTGGTATGTGCTTTCTTGTAACCTGATGTTGGGTTTTCACTGAAACACACTGTCTATAGGATTATGTCTTCAAAAATAAGTACACCACTACAAGCACCGAAATTGCCATCTGAGATTACTGGAAAGACTGTAGAAGAGGTATGTGTAACTTTCTTGACTATCTCTGCTCTTTCTCTACTTTCCCTTTTGGCCATTATGATTCTCTCTAGGATTTCCTTAAGTGGCTTGATTTTGATAAAACGATCACTGGGCTCTTTTGTTTTTAGTTTGAATGTTTTGTGTGACATGTAGTATTTGGTGCTTGTCTCCAGTTGTTAGTTGTTTTTCCAATTCTGCATGTTTTCTTTCTTTTTCTTTTATCATGGTTGGAACTACAGTCATTTTTTGACAAATATAATTGTTCCATTCATTTTTTCCTACTGAGCATAGAGTTTCTGGGTTCACTTAAAATTTCCTGTGGATGCAGATCATCAAAGATTGGAACTCCGAGTTACAGGAACGCACTGCAAAGTTTAGAAAGCAAGCTGGGGCAATATCTGAGTGGGATAGGAGGATATTACAAAATCGAAACGTTCTCATTAGGCTAGAGGTGATTTATCTGTATTTTCTCTTTAACACTACCAGATAGTGCTTTTTTTTCTTTCATTCATTTTCTCCCTGATGAGGTATATGTAGTGTACTTGTTCCTTTACATGCTCTGCATGGATGTAAATCTCCTCAATTGGCATTCAAATTGATAAGTTGAATGCAGCATTCTTATATTGCTACTTTAGCATGGGAAATTTATTTGTTTATACAATATTTGGATAATATCTGAAATGCAATGTATCATATGGAAGCATATCTAGTTTCCTACAGTTGTTTGACATCATTGGATGGCTGAGGTGTGCTGTTCTTCCTCTAAAATTCGCCAAATTCTTGAAGAATTTGTGGAGGAATGAATTTGGCTTTGAGCAGATGACTTGTCAGAGTCTCATTCTTTGAATGTCTGACAGATAGGATGATGTCAAACAACTGTATGAAGTATAGGTGTTTGCAATGTAGATGAACCATGTCCGAAATTGGTGTCTTATCTTGCTTCTGGGTATACCTGGCATCCCACTGGTAGCATTGGTATATTAGTCAAACAGAATATGGTTGTAGACTTTGCATCAGTGCAACAATATGTGAGTCTAGGCTGTGCAAGATCTCTGGTTGCTCATTCCGATATGGTTGTAAACTTTGCATCAGTGCAACAAAATGCGAGTCTAGGCTGTGCATGATCTTTGGTTGCTCATTCCAATTAGCTGTTTCCTATCCCTGAGTTTGATAGTTTTTTTTGTAACCTTAATTGGTAGCTTGTGGTTCAAAAGTTCAAAGGGTGAAAAAAATGCTGTTAAAAAGAATAGGAGCAAAAATCGAAAACTGGAATTGCAGCTAATAGAAGATGAGTGTGATCAAAATTTAGGGGAATCATTTATTTGCATCTGTTTGGTAATGTCCAATGTATTATAATCCCACTATTTCCTATCTAAGTCAACATAAATACTGATTCATTATTAAAAGGGCCTAGAAACTTATATTAGCATGAAGAGGAAGCGTCTTCTGGAACTTAAGAAACACTGTAGATAATCAGTTGCAATATATCTAATGTTTTTTTGTCTGGTTATTTATCAAAATATGTTTTAATTTCTGTTAATCACATAATTTAGGTTATCAGGACAGTATTGTTTTCCCTATAGTGATCATCACTCTCCTGTTGGTTTGAACTGTGTCATGGGTGAGCCTCACCCACAAAAATAACTTTGTAACCACTTTTGTACATGTAATACTTGATGGTATTTCTTCTTTACATTTGCTTGAGATGTACTGGACCTACTCTCTTTGTGATTCATTTTGAACTGTTGGCCATATATTTTAAGTAAATATAAATATAAAAATCTTTGGCTTTACTTTGATTTGCCCCAAAATGATGCAATATGGCAAAATATCAATTCGAGATGCATTCCATCTAGTCATTCATATTTTGTTTTCCCTCATGTGCTGCACCTGACCTTCTCAAGTGGTTAAACTTGGTGTCCTCTCAAGAGTTTAGAAGCTTGATTGCCTTAGGTTGCTCATTGTAGGAAGTTGTTAATTTTTTAGTTACTAGTGATCGTAATGTAGAGATTGTCCCATCAGATGTAGCTTGCAGAAATTTGTGGATGACCAATGGTGCATGGGTGGGGAGACTTCAGAATTAGCTAAGAGTGTCAATTGTTAATGCAACTTCTAGGTATAATAAACTGTCAGATCGCCATAATTCTCTTGTCTGTTTGACACGAGTTGTTGCTCATGTAAATGGGACTCTGTAAATATGAAATTTGTTCCGCACCATTATAGGCTTCTCAGCTTATAGGCTTCTCAGTGACGGGATTCATTTGTACATGCCAATATCCAGTGAGAAATTGATACCAATTAGCACCCAGGATGTTATGTTTCCTGTATGCTTTTTGCTTGGCAACTCTTGTAAAAAGTCATTCCTAGATGGTCTTCCCGTATTTCAGCATGAAAATGCATAACAGATCCACAATGAGAATATAATTGTTAAATATAATGCATTGATGGAGTGATCATTTCTGCCTACATCTGGCACGGATGAGTGTGAACCAGTCTTATATTTGACATTTAGATGTTGTCTTTATCTTTCTCTTTGGAGCTGATACATATATATGTCACATCAATTAGGTTTGCTTTCTTTTGGTTTCACCATCTATCTAGCTAGCTTCTGATTTTGATTTTGGACATGGCAGGGATCTTTCCAAACCCTGATTTACTTTTTCACTATATTGTATTCCATCATGTTTTAGAGCGTGTTACTTTTTCTCTTTTGCTGTATACTCGAAATTGTTCTTGCATATGCTATCTTCTTGTTCTATATGAACCAGTCACATTGTGATTTGTCCTTTTTGCACCCAAATGTTGGTCGAAGAAAACAATTGCCAGCCAAGAGGTGTTCAAATAATAATGTAACAAATATTGCTCGTTTACATATTTTTTTTTTGATAATGTTGACTTTTATAATATATGCTTGTTTACATGTTCATTTGGCCTTGCGGTTAAGTGCTATCGTAAGACCGGTGATTTCCCATCTCAAAAAGCTTATCGTACAAAAGGCTTCCCCCCCCGGCGCCCGCCTCTGCTTTTTTGAACATTTATTACAACTAGGATCTTTCACCATGACGCTGTTCTTGTCTAGAGGGTCCAGGCTGTATATTGAGTTAAACTCGTCCAGGCACTGCTGGTGTCGATTCGAATCTTGGGTCTGTCAACTCATTGAGCCATGAAGGACATGTGTTATTATTAGTCTAGAGGGTCCAAACCATAGTTTGACTTGACTTGTCCTGGCACTGAGTTGAGTTTACTCCTGACTCATGCATCGTTTGGTTGTTTTGTGCATGTCCATATTGGAAACAATAAGCTTCGTATATAAGTATCCATGCAAGTGAACTTAGTGACCAAGTGAGTATAGTGAGTCATGGACTGAAGTGACTCAATCAATGGTGAACAAATTCAGTATATGGTTCATCATGGGTTCTAGCATCTCCTATGAATGTCTTGACAGGTCCTTGAGCTGCCTTCAATGAGTTCCTAATTGACCCCTAATTTGTGCTTGATCCATGATTTAAGATTTGTATTGTATAAACTAATCTACCATAATGTTTTTGTGTCTTGTATGCTCATTGATTTAATAATGTTATATTTCTCTCGTTTATATTCCTTAAATTAGTGATGTCTGTATTACTTATACTCACATCTTGATTTACTGATCTTGGCAAGTATGATCTTCAGAAACCTTTCTTTTATGGGTTGTTTTGTTCCCTTTCGTATTATATATGATGAGCGCTTCTTCTTTCATTAATTAATGGGTTTAACACTTTTTATTTCTTGGTTTATGTGGTGTGGATTAGTTTTAGGTCAATTATATTTATTTGTATTTATTTTGAATCGCCATGGAAGTGAATGGTGCTGTTTTCTTCATTCGTACTGTCCACTTTGTCCTCTAGAAGAGTCTTACCTTGTCACTATATCAATTTGTTGCTGTCCTAAATGGTATTTCTGCTGTAGACAGAACTGGCGAATGTGGTTGAGAGACAGCATTGTTTGGAGCGCCAACTGGAGTTGATTGAAACTCATCAACAAGAGGTTTGTATTGGGTAGTTTGGGAATCAGTTTCTTTCTTTCTGTGTCCTCTGGATTTGTTTTAGTGCTAACTCTTCCACTATTATTTTGCATGAGTTTTAGTGGCTCTGTCTTGTCCACAAGGATTTTTATTTTTTTTCAATTTTATTTTATTTTATCACAAGCTTTAACTTGTACATTACTTTTCTTCCTGAATATTGGGTGGTAATATAGAAATTAGCCAATTTTGAGACAATCGCCGAAGCTTTTACATGTTCTTGTTAACAACTCTAGTTTGCTGAATAAGACCAAGTATTGGGAACGTAAAGTTCCGTACTGGAATAATTTGGACCTAGAATGCAACATGATTTTTTAGTTAATTGGTGGATGATTGATTCACGTGTTAACTCCCCACCACTCAAGGCCCCATCAGTAGCTTTCTAACTTCTCGAGTAAATCATGCTATGTAAGTTCCCTGTATATAATGATTGGGAAGATTTATTCTTATTGTCCAGCCTAACTTCACACAAATGTGTTCGGAAGTTGTAGAAATGTTCTGCTGATAATATAACCTGTTAATCTTTTTTTTTTTTGGTTTCACAATCTGGATCAGATATTAACTAGAGAGACGTTTTTTATCTGCAAGACTTTATTGACACATTTCCTTATTCAATATTTGTATACAACTTCCAATTTGCCTATGGAATGATCAGAATTTGGCTTCCTGGAGCTCTTACTTGACACTTCCAGTCAAGTGGAAATTGATATGTTTTTTTTTCCCTTGATAGACTGCATTGCATGTGTCTGGAATTTTCCATTTGATTAGGATGCCAAATGGAACTGAAGGAGAAGTTCTATAGGATGGCTGTAAGACCAGCTATGCTTTATCGAACGGAATGTTAGGCGGTCACTATAAATGAGTGTAGCTGAGATGAGGATGTTGAGATGGACAAGGAAGGATATAATTCGGTATTAATTCATTCAAAGGAACTTAGGGATAGCTCTAACAGACGATAAAATGAGGAAAAGTAGACTTGGTGGTCTGGTCATGTGCAATGTCCACCTAAAACATCACCAGTTAGAAGGGGTGATTTGTTTGAAGTGGTAGGCTCCAAAAAGGTAAAGGGAAGGCAGGACATAAATGGAAGTAGAGAGAAAAGATACGGTGGCTTATAGTAGTCTGACTGAGGGTATGATCCTTGATAGAAGCGGAGTGGCTGAGCAAGATTCAAGTAATCAACCCTAAATAGTTGGAATGGGGCTCAAATGATAATGATGACAAATGATGCCAAATTGCTATTTTAGCCTTATAATTGATTTGGTTTACTATTTTATATTTTTTTTAATGACTTAGTCTCATTTTATGACGTGTACTCTTGTAAAATAAAAAAGAATGAACTTTTATCTTTTACGAAATATATAGTTGGTGTGCTCAAATTCATTGTGAAGTACAATGGTTTTCACCTGCTTGACAAACTTGTTTGTTTCTTTTGGTATTGAGTTGAATATAATACTTTCTGCATTATTATGAAGGTTGACAAGGCATTGCAAAGTATAGAAGAAGAAGCTGAGAGGATGTACAATAATGAACGTGGTGTACTCCTTGAAGATGAGGTGGCATCAACAAGAGATTCCATGTGAGTAGCAATTTTTCTTTTAGCTTTGTAACTAGTGAGAAAGATATTTACATTTTGCCATTAATGGCTATTTTGCAATATGTTCCAGAGAACAAAGTTTTGGCAGTCTCTGTCATAGAGTTGAAGATATCAGCCTCTCTACATTGCTTTGATTGCTCATTAAATTTGTTTTTCCTTAATGATGATTCTGGTTATAGTCCTTCATTTAGTGAATAAGGATAATCTAATAGGTGCAAATCTTAACTACCCAAAAAAATAGTGGGTGCAATTCTTCGTATACATACCTTGTGAAGTCACAACTCATCCCAAATGCTGGATATTTGGCTTAAAAAAATATCGGAAACCTGTGCTCTTGGTGCCTGTATATTTTGTATTCATTGTGGGTACTTGGTAGCTAGAGGCATTTCTGATTCCTAATGTATACTAAGCCATATGAATTTGGCCCCACAAGCTTGAGTGGAATTCTTTTGATATGTGGAAGTGTGGTACCTATTTATTCAATTAAGTGATGGCTTTAAGTGTATTCTTTATTGTATTCAGTATACAATGGACAATGATATTTCTGTTTGATTGCACCTTTTAGAATGTTCATTCTGTTGAAGCTAGACTCCTGCTGTCGTCAAATGAGGACATGTGTATGCTATTTGTGGCAGAGGTTCAAAATTGGGATTGGGACTCAGGACATGCTTGGGTTGACTTGGCTAGCCAGTTCCATGTCATGTTGACTTGGAAAAACAGAAAGGACAACAATTTTTTTAAAAAAAAAACCAAAAAAGAAAAGATATGGTTTTGCTGACTAATGGAATCGGTGAAGACTTAATTTGTTGTACGCGTTTTTCTGGGAAATATGGGAAGTAAGAAACCAAAATGCATTTTACTCATTGAAAACATAAAGGAAAAATGCATTTCTTGGTGTCCAGCCACTTTTATATTCTTTTGAGCACCCCTAAACCCACATTAGCCATTAGGATTATGTGGCCTGTTTGCTTGCATATGTAAGCTTCATACAATTTGTACTTGTATGTCATAGTGGCAAATAGGGCTGGCCCATTGCCAGCCCTAGCCTGGGTCACTAAAGGCTAGGCTTGGCTTCCTAGGGGTGGGAGGTTTTCTTTTTATTTCTATTTTTCTATTTTTTTATTTTATTTTGGGGGTTGGGTTTGGGGGGGGGGGGGGAGGAAGAAGCAGGCCCATGCCCAGGCTAGACCATCATAATTTAACAAAAGGGAATAAAAAAGACTCTTGGCCAGGCTGGACCAGTCATGACTCTTGGCCCGGTCTGCAGGCCAAATCTTGTGGCCTAGGCCTTGATTTTTAAGGGCCACCCGCCATGGCCTATTGCTAGCCTAGAGGCAAAGCAACTTTGAGAAAATTTGGAGTTACCTTGTATATCATGGTTTTTCTTGTTTCTCCTTTTTTTTATTATATTGTCTTATTCTTTTTTATAGTGTTTGAGATAGACACTGACAAGAGTGTCGGTGTTTAACACTTAGAATGTTTAGTGCTTATTCTAAAAAAAAACTGAATCGGCAAGACATCTGTACAGGAAAATAAGTTTGAATATGTTATATTAAAAAGTAGGTTTATATAATTAAATTTAGATATTTTTCAAACAAAGCTATGGTTTTCATAGTGGCAAAGCTGACAGCCTCTCATGAATGAGACCAGAACCGAATGTGGTGGTTGATTGAACTAAGCCTCGCGAAGAGGTCGTGGGATCCAAACTTGGGCTCACTGTGACATCTGCTTTCTACAGCCTGGATTTTATATAAAAAATTTGGGCTCAATAAAAGGTGTGTTCACGTCGGGATTCAAATCCAATACTTCACAATATTAAAGTCCACTCTATCGCATGAGCCATGAGCTTTTCATTATAACAATATGCATATTATTATTTATAGGACATTTCTAAGAAGTGTCAACACATACTAACAAGCAGTAAAATTACTTGACATTCACGGTCAAGGTGTGAGCTGTTTCTACATTCTACAAGTAACAACAAGTATTGAGTCGCGACAATACAAAAAAATAGATTACTTAGGTATCACCTGTTTTATAATTCTTTAAAACAATTTGGAAGGGACACACTAAGTCCGAAGTCTTGAGTTGATTCTTTGCAGTGCTTGGCTAGTTCCTGAGGCAAGATTGAGTCCTAAAAGTGTTTTTTGCAGTGTTGCTTTGACTAGTTTCATACACTATTCTTTTGGTTCTGTGTATTAATTAAGGAAATTGCTGAGGTTAGCCCACTGGTTCAAATCTTCATATGAGCTCAATGGCTCAGATTGAATTTGGGCCGATCTGACGGTCACGACCTCATTTCGTATTTGAATTTGAATTTTTGTTTTCTACAACTCCAAATCACTTGAAATTTTAGGCATCCATTCTTCTAATCAAGGCGCACCCAATAAAAATATTTTAACAATAATTCGCAAAAATAAATTGACCAAAATACCCCTCAAAAATTTCGGGGGTATTTTGGTCAACTTATTTCTTGCAAATTAGTTTTTTGATATTTTTATTAAATTCTCCTATTTTTAAAGAATACATGCTTAAAATTTCAAGTGATTTGGATGTGTAGAGAAAAAAAAAAAAATTTCAAATATGAGATGAGGTCATGACTGTTAGATCGACCTAGATTCAATCTGGGCCGTTGGTCTCATATGTTGATATGAGCTAGTGGACTAACCTCAGCATTTTCCATTAATTAAACTTCCTTGTTTGTGTTCATTTGGAAGTACTCTTTTGATGCTTACATATTGTCTATGGTCTCTTTTGATGCTTACATATTGTCTATGGTTCGATTAATTCTAATCTGTATACAAATGGCAGGTATGAACAAGCTGAGTTTATTGAAAGGGAGATGGAACAGATGTCAGAACAAATCAAATCAATTATTCAGACCTTAAATACGAATCAGGTGACACATTGTTCACTTTGTGTTTCCGAAGTGCTATAATGTAGTGGATGCTAAATTTATTTTCCTCCAGGGTTCTGATCTTGACGGTATGGATGGCATGACTCCCCTTGATGTTGTCGTTCGGATTTTAAATAATCAATTGAGCTCCTTAATGTGGATTGATGAAAAGGTGAGCATGATTTTTGCTTTTGTTTTTCTTCCTAGCCTATTATTTACTAGTTTAAGGGATTCATGTCGTCATATACAAACAAAGCACATGCATTCTCGACGGTCATTGTGAACAATGGTGGGCTGAGATGGCCTGCTACTCCATTGAAGGCTGTCAGTGCTTGATCCACCGAGTAAATGGTTCATCTCAGTTGTGTAGTACTTCACCTTTTGTTAATAAGGAAATAATATGTTTACTCTTTTAGGTCACCATAAAATATAGCTTTATATTCTGATGGTACGTTTCATATATAATATTAAGAATGACTATTTGTGTTTATGAAATATAGGAAATAGCACTAACTCTTCTACATATTCACTTGTGAGATTCTTTACTTTGTGATGGTATAAATTTCATTGTCATATTTGCGGTTGGTGTTTAGATCATCATGTAAACATTTCTAGATTACTGAAAACCATATAACTTAGGTTCTGCTTGCTTCTTGAAGCTTATGTTTTCTTGGTACTAATGTGTCCTCCTGATATTTTTACCTGTCGTTTTGTGTGTGTGTGTGTGGAAGTGGTGCTTCCTTTCCCAACTCAGAACTGATTAACTGATGATTGGAATTTCGTTTTGGTTGGAATTTCTCTTATGTTTGATGATACTTTCAAATTCCCACGAGTTCAAAGTTCATATTTCCCTAGTTTTCTGGTATACATATGAACTAAAGTCTTCTTTTCTGTATAAATGAGATCTTCTTTTCTGTGTAACTGAGATTTTGCATGGCTGGTTCATCCACATTTCCTAGATTCTAGAGTAAGGTTAGTGTTCACTGTTATTAAACTTAGGAGAATGTGTCTAGCTCTGTATTTTAGCATGATCATTTTAAGCTTATTTTATACTAATTATGGTGATGATAGGGTTGGTCCTCTTCCTTTCTTGGATAGAATGTATAAACATGGGTGCATGAAATTAGCTAATAGCGTCAGAAAAAGAAACAAAGAGCTTAGCTAATAAGATTTCTATGGGTTTTACCAGGCTGGTGAGTTCTCGTTGCGTATTAAGAAACTAGCTGACCATGGTGCAGCTGTGGAGCGAGATTTGCCAGGTTTCTTATCTTGGTGAAGTGGAAGTATGAAACAAGCACTATTCGTTTGCATTGGACCTTTGCTTTTAATTGGAAGAAAACCATTTCTGCGTGAGCTGCAAGTTTAGAAAAGCCTCTTCATGTTTTGGTCCTCAGGTTCAGAAGACTCTAATGTTTTTTAACGGATTTTGGGTCGCTCTAGCGGGTTAGTTCTGGGACTTTTGTGCAGTTTGAGCTTAATCAACTGTGCTGTATACTTGGAGTTGTAGTCTTTTTGTAATTGTGATTTTGTGAGACTTTATTTCCATGATGAAATGGGAAATTTCAAGGATCATGTTGAGTGTTGTTCTGTCGGGCACTGGGATCTAAAGTATGCTTTGCACTGTTGTTTCTTCCAAAAGCATTAGGTTAATGTTAAAGGATGTTATCACCTGCCCACTTAAAATCAAATGGTTCAGGGACTTGTTCATATCCATGCATGATATGATAGATGCATGATGTAATAGGTAACACAGTATACTTTTCGTAAACTGAAACCAATCTACTCCAGATATCAGGTTTGAAGCCCAAGCAATTCTGAAGATCCTTATACTATAGAAAACCTTAAAAAGCTTGCGTCATTCAGCAATTTCCCTGTCAATTGCCTCCATCATAAGGATTTTCAATGTGGTAATAATATATATACAAATGCATGACCAATAAAGTGGCCCCATGCATGGAGACTATAGCTCCTGTTTCTTAGAAATATATACAAAAGCTCGACCGATAAAGTGGCCCTACGTATGGAAACTACAGCTTTTGTTTCTTTTCTCTTTTCTGGTGGTTAACTATTTCTTGTTCTGATTACCAAAATAACTGGTACCAGATGACAATCCGACCATGTGGCCTTTGTCGAATTAAGACTTTGTGTTGGTCTTGATTATTGAGAACTAAAACGAAACAAGCTATAATAATTGTTTGGTTCTAAATGTAATACCGACTGGCTCCTCGAGAACTGTCCGAGGTCAAGAACAGAACAGGTGGGTTAGTTTCTTGTTTGCGGCTTAGGCTCCATGCCCACACCCACAGTAACCACTTCCCCCCAAAGAAAAAAAGGCAAAAAAAAGGAAAAATTGTTACTGTGAAGTCAAACAGGTACCACTGACCTTGCTTTGCAATAGTGGAAGTTAAAAACTTTGTCCTGGTCTGTTGCTGGTTCATGATGGCAATCTCCTGCGTTCTTGATATGTTGAAACATTTTGTATTGGGTTTTTAATACCATGAAGTTTTAATTTATCCTCTATAGTGCACTGGCTTTTTAATTAGAATAAAGGAGAGGTTTTCATTCTCATTCATCTTCCTTAACTGGAGAAAGATAGCGAAAGCAGAGACACAAACCCTAAACTAAGAAATATCATTCTTCAATATCATTACGTTTTCTCATTTAAGTATTAGGGAGCACAATTATAAGTGAAAGGCTAAATTTGATTGTTGAGAAAGATGGAGCTCAAAAGGGGGCACGTGGTTTGGCAATTGAAGATGTTGATGGCATAAAGAAAGATCTTGTTGAGGATATTCGGCAAGGTAGAGAAATTGAAGATAAGGGACTTTCACAAGGGGATGTAAAGCCAGAAACATCACATGAATTTCTTTTCGGCTAATGTTCAAAATTTGTCGAAGGAATGGCCCATGTTGTTAGAATGTTGCATACTACTCTAATGTTGCTTGAGTTATTGCCATGATTTCTATAAAATTTGTTATTCCACTTGTTTGTAGTTTTCTTGAATGGCTTATGTTTAGCCTAGGACGAAAAAGATGGAATGAAATGAAATGGGTACTTGAAAGTTTGAGATTGTCAATGTGATGAACATAAAGAAGACTTCATGGGAGAGACTTATGCAAGTGATCTAAGTGATATGAGATCAAGCACCAGTTGTGCTTGTAGGTGTGTAGAGTCACCTCAAGCATGTGTGAAGTCAAGATGGTCTCAAGAACTCAAGAATGAGAGTATTGGATTGGATGGAGTTTGCATAAGAAGAACAAACATAAAGGAAGATGAGCAAGGTATGTTCATGTCGGTTATTGAGCTAGAGAGCTTGAGGAATTGACTAAGTTCTCTAGGTTCTTGAAAAAAGGAATAACTAGATATGGTTTGGCATGACAAGGGTATGATTTTGCATCAAAGTGAAGATCGTTGAGATATGATGTAAATATCACCCCCTATGGTATTTTTCTTTTGTTAAAGAGCATTTTTTCCATAGAAACTGAACCCTTTGTAGAGGTTTATAAAAGACATTTTTATAGAGAGAAAACATAAGGAGAAAAGAATAGAAGAGAAAAAATAGGTCTAAAGAAGTTTGGGAGGTAGATATTGAGGGTTTCTAGTGTAAATCTTAGCACCATTATAGCTCTTGTAATGGGCCGAATTTGATCGTGGCTTCCTTGCAGTGACGACGTTAGTCGATAGAGACAAAATTGATGGTGGGATTATTGTAGGAACTTTCTATTGAACTTTCTTTGCATGTATGAGGTAATCTCTACAAAACCTTAAGCTTATAAATTTCTTTTTTGGGAGAATGAATGCATCATTGCCCTCTTGCTCGTGGATGTAGCCCATTTTGGGGGAACCATGTTAATTCGTGTGTCCTCAACTTTTTTCTCGTGTTTTGGTTATAGTGATTTCCTATATTACTTGTTTCATGATTCTATAATTTTCCCAAATATATTGCACACACAAATATTTCTTGAGTTATTTTATTTGGGTTGTTGGATTCATTGTTGTAGAGTGCTCACCACATCAAGTAGGAATTTGTGTTATCCCGATTTGCCAACAAGGGGTAATCGAGAGAGCCTTGGTTGTCAATAGCAACAGGTTGGGTCCAACTGGACCTAGACTCGGACTTGAATAATATCCGGGTCCAAAAATTCGATCCATACCTGTACCCGTCGGGTCCATTGTCACCCTCACTATGAGCGTGTTTTTTTTTTGCTATTTTTTTAACATCAGTGACCCATATTATTGGCAATAAAGTCACAATCACCCGCATTAGATTTCTAGCCATTTGATTTAT